GGGCTAAGTATGACGATCTGACGGGCTAGGTATGGCGATCTGACGGGATACGGATGACTATCTGACGGCTTAAGTATGACGATCTGACGGGCTAGGTATGGCGATCTGATGGGCTAAGTATGGCCATCTGACGGGATAAGTATGACGATCTGACGGCTTAAGTATGACGATCTGACGGGCTAGGTATGGCGATCTGACGGGCTAGGTATGGCGATCTGACGGGCTAAGTATGACGATCTGACGGGCTAGGTATGGCGATCTGACGGGCTAAGTATGGCGATCTGACGGGCTAAGTATGATGATCTGACGGCTTAAGTATGACGATCTGACGGGCTAAGTATGATGATCTGACGGCTTAAGTATGACGATCTGACGGGCTAGGTATGACGATCTGACGGGCTAGGTATGACGGGATACGGATGACTATCTGACGGGTTAGGTATGGCGATCTGACGGGATAAGTATGATGATCTGACGGGCTAGGTATGGCGATCTGACGGGCTAAGTATGGCGATCTGACGGGCTAAGTATGGCGATCTGACGGGCTAAGTATGATGATCTGACGGCTTAAGTATGACGATCTGACGGGATAAGTATGACGATCTGACGGGCTAGGTATGGCGATCTGACGGGTCCGTCATATCAGCATACTTAGCCCGTCAGATCAGCATACCTAGCCCTTCAGATCAGCCCGTCAGCATACACTTTGATAAGATTAATATGCCATTTCAAAATGTATGTACAGGTATTCGGATTTGGTGTTTTTCGAAAGGTATGGCGATCTGACGGCTTCTCCAAGTGTTCGCAACTTTTCGCAGTAATACGCATGCGCAACCATGTTCGTGCATGCGTAAAACTATGGGTCTGACGGGTATGCTGACCTGACAGAACACCGGATTTATCTCTGACACAACTTTTAGAGTTCTTGTGCTGACTGTGGCGAGTTCCAGTCCAGGCGGGAGAACAGCAGATTCATGGGAATGTCACAAACCGGGCAAATATGCTTCAAACGGAAGTTTTTCCCAGACTTTCTGATAGATAAATGTTTTATTTATATCCTTAGCATACAAAACAATGGCGCCTACTTACACTATAAAACACTGTTAACTTTAAGCTGCATGTTTTCGGATCAGCGACACGTGCAAAACAGCAAAAACAAGTAAATTAATTGAACTAAAAACTCAAATAAATTAAAAAAACTGTGAAAGTTTTAAGAGAAAAAATGGGGAATTACCGTGGTGTAAAAAATTAAATATTAATAGTTGCTATTTAATGTAGAAATTGTTTAAGTTTCCATGTCATGCATCCAATTTTTTCCACTTTTCAAAATGGTTTGACCTCATGAATCCACTTTGTGCCGGAAAGAGCCTTTTTTCAAACTTAATCTCACAGATTTTTATAATTTCCAAATAGTTCTTGGCTCCGTTGGCCTTCAGGTGATGGGGCATCGAGAGGAAAACAAACCAGGTCACCTGTAGGAGCTCCCCCCCCCCCCAGTTGAGTTACACAATTAACAATTTGGGGAATTTGGATTTGGATGAGAAGAGGCAACACTAACTGGTTACCCAGCAGGGGGAGCGATTTGAGAGAAGAGGAAGAAATCCATTAAGAAGAAGAGTATAAAAGCAGGACCCAGGCCTTTGGAACCAGCCGGCTACCACAGGTGAGTTGGCAGGTGTGTGACGTTATCTGTAATGATTGTTTTGTCTTTTGAAAGTTTAGCGTTAGAAGCTGTTTTTTTTAAGGCTGGTTAACTTTGGAAGCAATTTTTTTTTTCTTTTAAGGACCGGCTAGCATTGGTTAACATTTAGTGTTTGTGGCAGTTTTTTGTTTTTTTTAAGGAAAGTTTGGCCTTGGTTGCATGTTTTTAGGACTGGTTAGCATTGGTAGAAAGTTTTTAATACTGGTTAGCGTTGGTAGCGGGTTTGTAGGACTGGTTAAGCAGGTTTTTAGCACTGGTTAGCATTGGTAGCAGGTTTTTTTAGGGCTGGTTGGCATTAGTAGAAGGTTTTTAGGACTGGTTAGCATTGGTAGCAGGTTTTTTTAGGACTGATTAGCATTGGTAGCAGATTTTTAGGACTGGTTAGCGTTGGTAGCGGGTTTTTAGGACTGGTTAGCGTTGGTAGCAGGTTTGTAGGACTGGTTAAGCAGGGTTATAGCACTGGTTAGCATTATTAGAAGATTTTTAGGACTGTTAGCGTTGGTAGCAGGTATTTTTAGGACTGGTTAGCATTGGTAGCGGGTTTTTAGGACTGGTAAGCGTTGATAGCAAGTTTTGGTGTTTCAGCTGGTTTGAAACTCGTTTTGCTAATCTGTGCTTTAATTTTTTTTTTCAACTTTGGGAAAGGGGTGAACTACAAAGCCAAACCTGTGGATGGTTTTGGGGGGAGGGGGGGGATTTGCATCAGTGCTCTCTTCAGATCTAATTCTCTCTTCAGTGATCTCTGCTGAGACGCTAAATAAACGCACTCTCAAATTTAGTCACCTGAGACCGCTCTGCCCTCAGACGCCTCCGGAGATCTGAACAATAAGTCCAAATCTGAACAATAAGTCCCGAGCAGAAGTGACTGTGAGTCAGGATGGTGAACAATGGCCGCGCGGTCAGCGTTTCTGCTTGATGAACGGCTGTTTTTAGCCTTGCAAAGTGGCGTCTATATATATAAAGGCCCTATGGCCAACGCCCCAAACCCTAATGAGCATGTGCGGGGAGACGGGTCTCGCCACAGTGACGGGAAAGGTTGAACGCCGACCCCAGGGCCTTTAGAGAAGATCTGATTAAAAAAAAAATTTAAAAAGGGAAGGGGGGGGGACCAGGCAGCCGTGTGTTTGTGCAGGCGGCAGCATCATCAGATTAATTGAGTGTAATCAGCGTCCTGGAAGCAGGAGTGTGATTTTTTTGTTCTGGTCCAGGGACTGTCTGATCTGATAAGCGCCCCGCCATCTCTCTCTCCACCAGATTAGACCCGTCCCCCCCCCCCATCACATCCCATCCCGGCTTTGGCCCATTAACGGGGACGGAACAGGCAGA